ATATATATATATATATATATATATCACAACAGAAATGCACCATTTGCCACAACAGTAGTACAGTACACCAACGCAATATTTTCTGTTTGAAACATTAAACAGTCATTACATCTTCCTAACAAGAGAATCTAAGGCCTTGAAATAGTTGTTTAAATCGATAAATTCTCTCTGAAAATAAAAATCAATGTCCAAATCCACCTATTAACAAATGAAATTCTATGCACAATTTTCCCAGACTAACAACACTTGCAATATTGGCCTCTCAATTAGCACACAACAAATTTCATTTCCATGTTTCTTACCATTCAATAACTATTTATATTATTCAAAAAAGAGTGTCGCTTATTTTAATTACTTGCCTTCTACATATCTTAGGTATTCTAGACCTAATGGACTTTGTGCTTTTGTTTCAAAGGAAACTAACGAAGGAGAAGTAGCACGGCGTTTATGCTCCTAGTCTTATTCGAGAGAAAAATTCACAGAAGATATATTCTTTGCTCTCATTTTTATTGATCCATCGTGATACGTTATTTTCGTATTAAATATATTAGCTTCAAGCCTTTGTGGTGAAGACACAAGATTCAATGATTAACACAAGTTTGCTTCTTATAACAAAAAGAAGATCGGTTCTTCGGGAGAGGGGCTTAAACAGATATTGGAAGGAGATCGATCCACCGAATGAAGGGATTCTGCTTTGAAGGGAGTTCAATCGAGCGAAGAGGAGGCTGACATAATCAGAGTCACTAGTTTTGAGTGTTGCGCAAGAACGGCGTCAAGATAAAAATGTAGTCTTTAATTTATTGTTTAATTCCTAATACTGTGCTTGTAAAACCAAAATAGTGAAAATTCGTTGTTGCAGATCATCGTGGATGTAGGGTACAATTGTATCCAAACTACATTAAATTTGTGTCTCGTTTATTTTTATTTTTACAAACTGTTTTACGAACTGTTACAACACTTTACACAACAGTAACGAAAACTGAATCTAACACAAATAATCAATATTTGTGCGAAATAAATTCTAACAACTGGAATATGCATCTAATTTTCTTTTCTCATATGGGTTCTTAAACCTTCTTGGTTTGGTTTGCTCCTCTGTAGATGATAGATAATGGTGGTTTCGTTTGATGAACTGTTCGAAAATATTTGGGAAATTTTAAGTAAAGGGTAAGTTTTGGGCCACTGTAGGGGTTGCGGTGTAGGTGAATTGAATTTTCTTTTAATTTAATTATAATTTGTGACTAAAAATAGAAAAAAAAAAGAGGAAACCCGAACCCTACCTGAAATAGCCGGATACCTTTCGGGTCGGGTTTGGGTAATTATTTTCAGGCAAAATATCTGAATAATGTGATCGGAATAACCCGGTCCAATCCGAATGCCCACCCCTCTGCACAAATAAGATAAATAGGATAATAAAACATATAATAAATAAAGAAAATGAAGTATCAAATTGTGGATTTGTAAAAGATTGGGGACCTCTCATCAAATACGCCCCCCAACACAACAAAATAGTTAATAATCTTACATCTTTGAATATTTATCATAATTATATATATATATATATATATATATATATATATATATATATATATATATATATATATATATATATATATATAAGGAGCCTTCACATTCAGAAGGTCCATAAGCCCAACTAGGGTATATATTATTTTTTTAGGGACAATTTGCTATAGGTCTCTTAGAATTTATGTGAATAAATCCAAGTTTTTTTTTTTTTTTTTATTAAAACAATTGTTAATATTGTGTCAAAAGTACCCCTAATAAATATATGGCGGCGGATATATGCACGCCCATTTTTTTATTAGCTCACACTCACATAAAGGAGTTTATTAGTTCACGCCCGTAAATTAATTTTTTTTTATTACATCGAGACCAAACGTGACGAATATACCCTTATCAATAAATACTACCCAAATACAAACAAACTC